TGGGGTAAAGGTGTATTTAGCATCCTGAATTCCTACAGACTGAATGAGAGTCAAGGACATGCTAAACCTTGCAGGATTAGACCCTAAATAAGAACAAGAATAGAGAAAAATGACAGATCATTATATCTGGAACACATGAGGATTGTGAGAGAGACAACACTAACACAAGAGAGGAAAGGTCATTTGTGTTAATAAATTTGACAGGTTTATTGTTGATTACTTAGTAGAGCTGGTCAAAAACCTAGGAAAACAAATTCACAAAATTTTCATTTTCTTTCTGGGTTTTTAATTTTGAAAAACTTTGGCAAAAATTAAAAAATCAATTTGCTCTATTACTTAGTTTTCTTTTAATTCATGTTCATATTCTCTTTGGGTGCCAGAGGTGTTGTTGGAAGGCCTAATAGAAAAATTGTGATTTTTAAGAAAAGGATTTTGGAGAAACGAGGTCATTCTTCCATAGCCATATTGGCAATACTAACAAAACCTAAAACTTAGTCTTGTCAGGACATAAAGTAGACATGACTTGAAGACACAGGATCCAGATTAAGTAAGCAAATTTCCACCTTTACATGCTAATTTATTGATTATAATTGCAAGTTAACCAGCAAGTAGGACTCAGTGTAATGCTGTGAAACCTTTAACAAGGTGCTTGAACCCTCATCCAAGTCCAACAAAGCACATACTGTTAAGAGTCAAAACGTCATCCCCTCCTTGATAAGTTTTTATATGCTATGTTAGTTTTTGAATAACATGATATACAAGCCATGCCTTCTCCTCAAGCTTGACTGATCCTCCAGGCCTACGCTTTTCTCCAAAGAGCTACTCCCACTTGCTTATATTCAAGGTGGAGTCTAATGAGCCACACCTGTCCTGATGACCCCATCAGTAACTACCTTATACAACTCCTTGCAGGGTTACTATGATGGGGACAGTAGAAGCATCTTGTTGTACAGCTCTGTTAAAACAATTTTCTCTCAATCAAACACATGGAACATTCCCTGGGTGTAGTAGTCTCATCCCCCAAATCTATTAATTCTTTACTCTATTCCCCCTTCTTTGCCCTTCCCCCCCAAATTCATTGATCCATCTACTTCAACCACTGATCCATTTGTACCCTTTGCTTTCCCATCCCCAGCACTTCCTGGAATCTCCTTTAGGTGGCTTCCTATCTGGAAGCTGCTCCTCACATCAGCAGGTAGCGACAGGTGGTATCTTACAGCTTCTGCTGGAAGGAGTGATGGTAGCTTGATTATCTACAGGGCATTGGGGTGGTTTGGTGGAGCAGATCTCCACTGATTCACTGGTGATATTCCATAGCTCACGTGCAGGGGGAGGGATTGGAGGCTCCCACTTTCTTTAGCAGTTGCCGTGGTCAATATTAAAGCAAGTGAAACTTGCAGCTTGCCAGCTGCCTGCACAAGCAGCATCAGTTCAGTCCTAGCCTCAGACAGTGCTGAAGCTATCATCAAGTAGAGCCAGCGTTAGTGTTTGGGGTAGGCCTATGAAGCAATTTCCTCCTCCTTTCCCCATAGGTGACCAATTCCTGTCCACTGTGATCACACCACTGAGTCCAGGGCAGGACCTAAGAACTGGGGAGAAGGATTAATAAAATGGTTCTTTTGATTCTGCCCCTAAGTTAACCAACTCGCTTTACATTTTTTTAATTCTCCTTTCTCAGCTTCCTGCTGCAGAAGTGGAGTCGGAGGCTTGTTCCTTACAATTTGTTTAAAAGTTTTTACATCAGGTTAAAAGGCTGTTTTTAAGGCTATCTTGGCAAGGGAAACTAGGAACTAACCTTAAATGAAAGCTCATGCAGCCCAACGGTTGCTCTATGATGTGAGCCACCTCCAACTAATCCATGCTGGCACAAGAGGCTTGTTCTTGTGTGCTGAGTTGGGAAGGAGCTAACGCTAGCCCACACGGGCAGAGTGAAAGGCTATGATTGGATTCTTTAAGTAGAACCAGATTTGCAAACATGTTTCTGAAACTAATGAGGTAAGTCTGGGCACAGTTTGTGTAACATTTGCTCTGCACAAAAACTAGGGAAGCACATTACTATCAATTAAGCAGGAATATTCATCATATCATGTCAACAATCACTTTTCAAATTATGTGGTACAGTTTGTGAATTTAAACTAATTTGTCACCTGGATAATTTAGGCATCTTCGTGTATCCCGCGCCACAGAGTTATTGAGCTGGAGGCAGTAGATTGTGCACTCATCTCAGTCCGTGGGAATTCTGCCTGTATTAGGACTGCAGGATTGTACAAGGAATTGCAGCTGAGTATGTCCAAACAGCCTACGTAGGTCTGTTCCTTCTGATGAGGTAGCTGCTGTGCCCCCTCAATACGTGTACTGAATATTAGGTATTGATCTACATATGTACATTGTGTATTGAATGCAGGAGATAAAATAATCTTCCCTGCCCAGAGTTCAAATCATGTCACTCCCTTCCACTGGCTTCGTCTTACTGTATTCATAAAAATCTGAGCTTTTCATAGTCTTTATGAAGGCCTTACACAAATGTGCCCTGCCTACATGTCTGCTCTCATTTCTTACCGCTTCCTTCTTAATTCTCTCCACTCAGCTGATAAATCACTCCTTATTTCTCTCTTTATTTTCTTTTCTAATTCAGGTCGTCTTCCAGGCTGCCCTGTATTTAGACCTAGAATAATCTCCCTTTGCCAAATGCATTCTCTCGCTCTCTGCTCAAATACCTCTTTAAACCCCAGTCTGCAACTAGGCCTTGGCTAGACGATGCCTACAGTGAGGAGAGACAGAGAGAACCTTATATTTCAAACTTTATAAAGGTAAAAACCCAGAAAATTTGGCAGGAACAATAATATAAATAATAGACTAATAATACAAAGTAGCATCAAATACTTGCTTAGGAAAAGAATAACTGTAAATTACCACCACAATAAAAAGAAGTTTTTAACAACATACTGTCACCCAAAGTGGGAATCAGCTCCTCCTCTCCCTGGTTGCAAAATCCAGCTTCGCTCCTGGTTTCCCACCTCTGCCTCCTCTGGCTTGTGATGTTCCTTTGCTTCAATGCTGCGACAACTGCACTTCTTTGCAACAGGCCCACCAGCAAACAACAGCTCCTCATCCGGCTCATTCTCCTAAATCATTTTAGGAAAAAATGCTGTCACTAATCCATTACTGAAATAGAAAATAAACTAAAAGGAGGGTGGTCTAAATTAATTCTACCATCTGGTCTCTAGGTCTGATCTTTGTGAAGGACGTAAGCTCCTTAGGGCAGAGATCATTCCCTTTGTTTTGTTCCTAGTAAAGGTCCAAGTACACTGTTGGCTGAGGTAGAAAACGTACTCAAATGAGAAATAAATAAATGTCTAGAAGAAAGATATTAAAAGCTATAACTGTTGGCCAGGTAGGTGGACAGAGCTGGAGGAGCCACATGGCCTCCTTCTGTGCTGACACATTATTACATACTGTAACTCTCTGCCCAAAGATGACAGGGATGCTGGCACTATTTTCACTGAGGACTTTAATTTTTGCTTACTTTCAATTGCTAGATTAGCATTGCAGACTGCATTCTTAGACTGTTGTACATCCTTTGTAAATTGCTTTGAGATGTGTTGGTGTGATAATGTGCTATAACAACTGAAGTCATTATTACTTTCTCTTTCGCTGAGGGAATTTGATGGCTGGCATTGATCTATAAGACACTAATTTCCATATTTTGGTATTACATTAACCAATAGAATTCCTCTGCTTTATGATTTCACAGAAAGGTTTACTGGACAAGGGGTTATCAGCCTTAGTGCTAAGGAGTGCCGCCACAAAACTGGGACAAAGTACATGAATTATTGTCATTCTCTACCTGAGAAAGATACATATATTCCTCTGTCGATGATGCTGATAATGATATTGATATGACAAGTGGAACCCAAAGATGCAGATTTAATGATTAAAAGACCCACAATTCAGTCAAACTAGGAAGTAAATGAACCTGAATGTAGAGAGAGGCAAAGGGCTGAGTTTGCTTTGAACAAACATCATATGCCAGATTTTCAGCCAACGTAAATCAGTCTAGCCCCAGTGTGACTTGGTGCTTACAGACTAGCATTGGACAGGAGAGGCAAGGGCCCCTTTGGAAAGGAGAGAAGATAGGCTTCAGCAGGTTGTGGGGCTTGTGGCTGGGCCTAACCACCAGCACCAGTACTTTAGGGGCTAAAGAATCGGGAAAGCTTTTCCTCCCCTAAAATAAAGGGTTTGGAAGCACTGCTTCAAGCAGTTGCTTCATGCTGTGATTCTCTGGTGGACACGGGGTGCCTTAGTGCTTATCCTATCACCATGTTCTGTCATCCTGGTCCTGCTATTTGCTGTCTCTTAATTTAGCATTTATATTACAGTGGAGTCCAAAAGACCAGATCAGAGTCCCATTGTGCTAGGCACTGTAATAACACAAGACAATTCAGTCCCTGTCTGGAAGAGCTAACAGTCTTACGTGTGTGAATTTAGCATGCTCTGCATTATGGGCTATCTCAGACCATGATGTCATAATACACTGGCATGCTAAATGCCAACATGAGGCATGCTGCCAGCCCAGGATTCAGATCCTTAATTCAGTTGCATCTGTACTCAGTCTGTTGCTGTTCAAAGGGATCTTGGGAGGGCAGGGGATGGTGAGGCTGTTCAGAAGTATCCAGGGAAATTTTGTTGTCATCCTATAGGCCAGTCTGAGCCTGCTACAAACTATGATACCTCAACATGCCTAACGCAAGTAGAACTTGCCAAACAAATTTTCACTGATGATGTAAAGCTAAGATTCTGAACATGGATCTCTGGAGTGGAAAGTAATTAACTCACCAAGTCAGGTATCCCTTTTGCATTTTAGATCTACCCCATTATGAATCAGATTGTTTCACAGCTGAGGATTTTAATGCAGCAGAATGAGGTTTATTTGCTAGAATGAAGTTATTACATCAATGGAAATCCTTGGATGATTTTCTTCTTTTTACTTTTGGATCCAGGCCGTGCATTGCTGAGGCTTACTGACAAGAAGCTTGAACGAATGGGGATTGCCCAGGAGAGCCTACGACAGCACATTTTGCAGCAGGTGCTTCAGCTGAAAGTGAGAGAAGAAGTCCGAAATCTACAATTACTTACACAAGGTAGGAAAGAATTTCAGTGGGGGCCTATAAAAAGGTAGTGAAGGTAAAGTTCAAACAAAGACATAAAAGGTGATTTGACAGTCCCCTGTAAGAAATGATGCATGAAGATCTTATCGACTCTAAATACTTTCCTAGTGGGGAAAGGGAACAAAAGGTAAAACAATGCATAAATAAAAAAGGTATGTTAAGCTGACTGTTGGCATGAGGAGAGTAGTTTTGATCTACAGCTTGATGGCATTCTCACTTAAATGCCTACTTACTAAGACAAAAATAACTTGACTATATAAAAAGAGAATTAATATAAAACCATCTGTCTTTGCAGACATGAACATTTGCATTAATTGTTTACTCTCACCATTGGATAAAAGAGTAATCTCAGTAATCTCTTATGGTAAGAGCCGTCAATGAGAATTACCTGGTAGGCATCTGAAAAATGTAAAGAACTTGATTCTACTTTCTCATTGGGGTAACTCCATTGATTTTACTAGAATCATTCCTAATTTATACCAGTGGAAGTCAAAGCAGAATCAGATTCAGTCTGATGATCTTGTGTGTGTATATATGTGTATCTGGGGGGAGATCATTTAACAACAACAGCAACAAAAGCCTGTACATCTTTTCCAAATAAGGCTAAAACATTTCATAATGGCTTGCATTATTAGCTCTATTGAGGCATTTGTAGCTGCTGCAATAATATGGAACAGAGCAGACATTGTACTCACAATGTAAAGTAATGGTTCGGCATCTTTTAATATAGATCTGTAGTTATCCATCCTTGTAAAATGAGGTTTGATAATCCAGCCAGATAATTTCCATGATGTTTTGGTTTAATGCCCATTTTGTGTCAATGCATATGAAAAGAAATATTGTTAAAATATACTGTGTGCACTGAGGAGCACTATGTATTCCATATGCAGCATTATGTAGCTGACTAAACTGTGCTTACTGTACTAGGAATAAACTCATTGGTTAGTCCAGTAACTGCCCTTCGACAGGAAGAGTCTCTGGCTCCAAATGAATTGTTCCTCCGGCAGGTTTTGATGTGGTTTCTAATGCCGATGGGTCATAGTTGTAAGGTTTTGCCTGTCATATGCATGCCTCTCCAGCACTGCCACCCCTGGACATGTTGGGGCACTGCAGGTGCATTGCACTTGGCACCCCAGACAATTACCCGGACCAGATTAGTTCAACCCCTCTCTGCAACATCTTGTTTATTCACTTATTCTACAGAGGGTAACTCATTTATTTCGCTGCTCACCCTGGGTCCATGTAAGTGTCCTGGTTAGTTTCCTCTCCTGTTCCAGAGGTCACAGCCCTACACCTAGAGCTGGTCTGTACTTTGGGCAATTCCTCTTCTTAAGGCAGGAGCCTCCTAGCTCTTCCCCTTGGAGCTGGTATTGTGCTTTAGGCCAGCTGTAGAGCCTCAGGAAGCTTCTCCTCCTGCTGGCCCATTTACCGATCAGTCCTTCCACTCTCAGCCTGAGAGAGTTCAGCAGGCAGAACTTCCCCTGTGCTGTCCTCTTCTTGTTAATTCAGGGGCCTGCAGGAGCCTTTTTACAGGCATCTGCCCTGCTATGAAGGAAGAAGCAGAATTTATGTTGGCCCCTTCTTCCAGTTCATTCTTTATTGGCTGGGTGAGAGCAGAGCCTTGCCCCATCTTCTCTGTAAGGCTCCAGGTCCCAGACCCTTAAAGACATAGCAAAAGGATTCCTTCTAAATGTTGCTTCCAGGGCCGGCTCTGGCTTTTTGGCCGCCCCAAGGGAAAAAAAAAAACGGGGCGGC